TAAAAAGCCGCCCTTTGGCCGTTCCCCCCCCCCCCCCGTGTGGCAGGGGCCTTACCGTGTACTAGATCATATGGGCACTACATACTTGGTTATAGTGTATTTTCCAGGGTTTCTACCCAGTTACTTTGTTAGTGGTCTAGTACTGTGCTGGTTATCTGCGGTGGCTCAAGTGGTTAAGATGCTGAACTGCAGGCTGTGGAAGGTCAGTAGTTCAGCAGTTCGAGACCCAAGTGTGCCGCATGACGGAGTGAGCTCCCGTCTCTAGTTCCAGCTCCTGCCAACCTAGCAGTTCGAAAGCAAGAAATGGCAAGTAGATAAATAGGTACCGCTTCGGTGGGAAGGGAACAGCGTTCCGTGCGCCTTGGTGTTTAGTCATGCCGGCCACATGACCACGGAAACGTCTTCGGACCACGCTGGCTCTTCGGCTTTGAAACAGAGATGAGCACCGCAACCCTAGAGTCGGATTCAACTGGCTTTTGAGCAAGGGAACCTTTACCTTTACCTAACAGTGACGGGGAGGGGGGCTGTGGGTCAGTGGTGGAGCAATTGCTTGGCATGTAGAAGGTTTCGGGTTTCATCCCCAGCATTTCCAGTTAAAAGGGTCGGGTGATAGGAAAGTCACCTGCCTGAAAGCTGCTGCCAGTCGGAGTAGGTAGTGATAATCTCGATAGACCAGTGGTCTGACTCAGTCGCCCTCTTCACGTGTTACAGTGAACACCCGTACCTCCTGCCTATAGTTGCATATGTCTGCGTGTGATCCAGAATTACACGACCGCTTCTACTCGCATGAAGTCTTCCAAAAGGGGGAAAACTTTTATTTATAGCTGTGTTGATGCTTATTGACGGTCCTACAAAAGACACGTCGTGCAGCTAAAATGCACGGACGGAGCGCTCCTGTCATTCTCAGCGGGTGTGTAATTCTGGAAACTCCCATTGGGGTTTGACTTTTAAAATACTGATGCAAAATTGACTGGTAGTTGTTATATTGTATGAACTGAGTGTTATCGTTATACTGAATGTACTGAATAGATATACCTGATTAGGATGTTATAATAATACACAATGCAGTTTATAGAATCATAGTTATAAACAGAACACATTAATTTACAAAAGTCTCTTGCTGTGTATATTTATTCATTACTTGACTTTCCTAACACTGTGGCTTGGGTTGCTACAACCTCCAGGTGGAGCCTGGATATCTCCCAGAATTCCACCCGATCTCCAGACTACAGAGATCATGTTCCTCTGGAGAAAATGGTTCCTTTGGAGGGCGGACTCCATGACACTATATCCTGCTGAGGTCCTTCTGGCACGGCACAGCCTTTGGCTTAACACAGTAGAAGGCCTCTTGGTCCCTCTCGTCGAGATACTCGCACAGCTCCTCCTTGGTGGTGATATGGAAGCCACACGGGGTGAAGACGGCTGCGGTTCCGTTCAGAAACCTGCCAGTGAATGCTATTTTCTCATACCCCTTCTTCCTGCTGGCCCACATAGCGGAAACGCCTTCGCTAGGGTGGATGAGCAAGATGGAAACTCTGACATCCCCTTCCCAAAATAAAGTGAAATTCACCAGGTACGTCCCGTTCCGATAGTCTTCTATGCGGCCAGAAGCTCCAGCTTTGAGACTGGATGAGTAGACCCTGGCTCTTAAGAAGTCCCCTCCATACGCCTTCCTCTTCCCCAAATGATCGTACACATCCAGCCGGACCATCAAGTGGTCCCCGACACAATAAGAGTCCTTGCGGTTGAGTATAGTGGCCTTGCTGTTTTTGGCACTGGTGGTGGTGCTCATGTTCCTGAAAGTGACATTGGGCATCCACTGGTCCAGTTTCTTAAGGATCTCTCCTATTTCTTGCTCCTTTCCTCTCTGCTGCACTCTGGCCATAGACAGGTCACTTTTGTCCCCCGGACAAGTTCTGTTCTTGGTAAACGTGCAGCCAAAGTCCTTATCCGTTTCTTCTTCTGTGAAAGTTTCTTGCTGGTTTCCAAAAATAATATTCTTGAAGATGTAACAAGGGAAAAAAACACAATTAGAAACAAAAAATGTGAAAATTGTAGCCCACAGATCCAGTCTGGTAATCTTCTTCCCTGGCTATACTCTCAAAGGAAGGCAGATGCCCAGATATTCCAGCCTGGGAGGACAGTGAGATTTGACTGCAGGAGCATCTTAGGTAAAGGTTTCCCTTGCTCGAAAGCCAGTCGAATCCGACTCTAGGGTTGTGGTGCTAATTTCCGTTTCCAAGCCAAAGAGCCAGCACTGTCCGAAGAAGTTTCTGTGGTCATGTGGCCGGCGTAACTAAATGCCAAGGCACACAAAATGCTGTTACCTTCCCACCGAAGCGGTCCCTATTTATCTACTTGCAATTTCTTGCTTTCGAACTGCTAGGTTGGCAGGAGCTGGGGCCGGAGACGGGAGCTCACTCCGTCATGTGGCACTCGGGTCTCGATCTGCTGAACTACCGACCTTCCAGCCTGCAGTTCAGCGTCTTAACCACTTGAGCCACTGCAGTTCCTAGGAGCCTCTTAGAGACCCACAAGATTTTTGGGGTATGACCTTTCGAGAGCCAGTACCAGAACTTTGCTACTGGACTCAAATCTAGCTGTCCTATTGCAGGCCGAAGGAAGGAGTTCTGGCCCAGCAGTTTTAGCAAGAACCATCCATTCTTAGCTATACTCAAACCTTTGAATCAGGCTTCCCAAACTGTTTAGTCATCCTGTGGACCTTTAAACAGACAGGGTCAGTGCCATGAATCTCCTTCATCGGTTACAGCGAGGATAAAATAGATTCCAGTGGCACCTTAAAGACATGTTCAAAGTTAGTGGGGCAGGGGGTAAATTTAGGAAGGTTCCCATAACTCTATGAGCCCTATGGAACGTCAGCTGCCCAGTTCCTGATTGTGGCCACCACTCCGCCACATGTTGTTCACTGTTTCCAAAATCCTCCTTTCCTCTTTAGCGACCTACCTTACCAATTCTGGTGTCCTGCCTTTTCAAGTGGCAAGCTGGGAAGCTTATTCCAAGGGGGGGCATCGACTTGCAAGCCATCCTTCCACTGCAGTTGGTAGGACTGCCCAAACGGAAGGAGCATCTGACCGAAGGTTGCCAGAGCTTCCATAGAGGCAGGGGTCCCCTGCTGCCTGGCCCCACTGCCCAGCGGCCGATCAGCTGGCTGTTGGGGGGACTTACCAGTAGAAAGACGAAGGCCTAGGCCAGGTAGCCTGTGTTGCACAGGAAGTGATGTCATCACGTCAGCAACTTCCAGGTGACGCTTTGGTATTTGGGCAATAACTCTGTGACAGAAGCCGTAGAGTTGTTGCCCAAATACCAGAGCGTCACCTGGAAGTTGCTGGCCTGATTAAGTCATTTCCGGTGTGATGCCTGCAATGTGGCCTTGGTCTCCTACTGGCAAGTCAGTCCCCTGCAACCCTAATCTGACCACAGCCTGAGGTTGGGCTGCTGATTCCTGCATAGTCCACTTAGTTGTCTGTTCATCCCCCTGTTTAGTACACAGCACTCCAGAGGCTGAAGGAACCGGTCCAGTGGGACTGATGCAGAATGGCTGGCATTAGCCGCTGTTGCCAAATGAGCCTCTCTTTGTGTGTGTGTGTGTGTGTGTGTGTGTGTTTTTCTGCCTTGAGGGCATCGCTCCCACACCCTGTGTGGGGTATGGCATTTATTTCCATTTTCTATAGTCCGCCTTTCTCACTTGGACTCATGGCGGATTGCACAGAGTGATGGGACATTCAAGGATCAATGTAATAGGAACTGGGGTTAGAGAGCCAATCAGAAGTCTAGAAACAGAACCGAAGCAAAGCATGTCCGACTGTGTTGGGTATTACAAGTTGAAAACACTCAGTATGTCTGGGGTTAAATGTTTGTTTATGTTACTCACAGGAAGTCACATGTTTCTCATGTAACCAATGTTCTTTAGCTGTAGGAAGCCCGGGAATTTTCTCCCTGATCTAGGGATTTGATTGGGACTAAAGTGTCAAGGTGTATTAGCATTTTATGGCTTCTCTTCCCGTCTTTGTTTGGTGTTCTGAAGAAGAAGGAGAGCAGCCATAATCTCTCTTCTAGTTTTGTCCTTGTAATGTAAGGATGTAGCCGATTATGCTCTGTCGTTATTTTCATCCCAGTTACCCTTCCCCATGCTAGAATTTAGTAAAAACTTTCTATTTTAATCACACATGGACTCTGAGTCTGAATTACCTTACTCAGGCTCTGCTGGGCTATCTCATCTCCGCTAAATACCATTTTTTCAATCTCTCACTATCACCCAACAGACGGACATATTAAATGATACAAAATTTACGTCGTAGGACCTCAGCAGGGTTGCCAGCTTTGAGTTGGGAAACATCTGGGGATTTGAGGGGTGGGGTCTGAGGAGGGCTGGGTTTGGGGAGGGGAGGGACCTCAGTGGGAGACAATGCCCTGGTGCCCGCCCTCCAAAGCAGCTGTTTCCTCCAGGGGAACCGATCTCTGTCGCCTGGAGAGCAGTTGTAATAGCAGGAGATCTCCAGCCACCACCTGGAGGCTGGTAACCCTAGATCTTCGTTTCAGCACGCTGTACACAGTGGCATAGACCACCACAGTCCCTAACAGTTTTTCCAAGAAATGTTGTGAGTCGTTTAGCACAGTGCGACTCTAATGCCGGCATAGAAAAGCCCTCTTGAATCATTCAGTTTTGCACGGCTTGTGGGAAGCCTGATTAAGTCATTTCCGCCCTGGCGTCCTCAGGGAGGCCCTTCCACAGGATCAGGCCCACGGTGGAGAAGGCACCGGTATGGCAAGCCAAGGGAAGGCATGGGGGTGAGGACTAATACGCTAATGAGCTGTGCTGTCAGGGGTGTGGCCTGATAGGCTAATGGGTTTCTGCTGTTGGGTGTGGCCTATTATGCTAATAAGTTCCTGCTGGGCTTTTTCTACCAAAAAAAGCCCTGAAAAGAAGTAATACAAAATTTCTGTAATGATACGAAATTTCTGTAAAGGTATGAAATGCCTATAATCCTGTGAAGTTTCTGTAATGATACCAAATTTCTGTAAGGATCCATGGATACATATGAACAC